GTTATCAGAATGGGCCACCCGCCAGTTTGAGCTGGTTTTTTTAGTGTGCAAAAGAAGCCATTCGTGTGTAAGACGTCATCAGTTAGTGAGTATGGAAGAAGATCGCTATCGATGTATAATTTTCACGCGGCATTTTAAAGTCGTCTGATAAAAATCGATCTCTGAAGTTTCAGCGTTGCGAACGTTATATTGGGACGCGGTGAAGAAAAATCGACCTTGCTGAGCAATAAATGTGAAATTCTTAAGAAAACTGATATTATCATGGACTTCGTGACACAAACTAACCGACATACTACTTTGGACGATTGAACAGTTTTAATACGGAAAGATAGGATTAGATGAAATTTTCATCGGGGTGGGACACCGCATGTATCGTAAGTTAAGCTAATTTTGTGATCATTTTTCAGTGACTTCAAATAAATTTTTATTTAAATAACAATTTGCACATTCTGTTTATTATATCTTCTTGCAGTAGATGTATTTCCTGCTTCAATAATCCATTCAAACCCTAAACAAACTGTTCTTAAATAGAGGTAGGGTCAAAATTCCACAAAAAAGGACGCCATTTTGAGGGTTATTTCGATATATTTTCTGCTTTTTCTATTTTTTTGCTTTTATAACAACATCCTCCTTGCTCATGCAGCTTCTTTGATTTGTTATTGAAACATACACAACGATGTCATGAGAATTTGGTTGGCTATCTAAATTTAAATAACATTCTTGTTATGGCCCCCCTGCAGTGCACCACTAGCAAAGAATGACTGATAAATAAGTGAAGTATTAGGAATTTCAAATTGAAATTTTAAAAATAAATTTTAGGTCATATGCTGGTTGAACTCAAAAAAGGAAATGCAACAAAATGGCTGCAGAAAGTTAAACAGCAACAGTGCACAGATAAGGCAAGTAGTTGTCTTCATGGAGAACTTTTTGCTGTTGTGCAGTTTTCAAATTTTGTGTGAACTGGAATAATTGTAATTTTTTTTCTTTTGATAGGAAAATTAGTGTCTTCAGTGAAACCCAATGATATATCTTCTTCTGTTTTATTCTTTGTCACTTTTGCATTGTTAGCACTCATAAAATTTCTATAATGTTAAAGGTGTTTAATTTTTTACGTTTTATATTATTTCTTATTGTAAGCACAGTGTGTTTTTGATCTTTCAGGGCCTTGAAAAGTTGTATGACTCAGCATTTTTGATGAAGGACATGAGAGGGCAAAAGGGAAGCTCCTATATGTGCCAACACAGCTGTTTTACCAACTTTATTGCCAGATTCCCAAATGACGACAGTCTTAGAGAATACGAAATGGGTAAGCAGAATGTTAAGTTTCATCTGAAATTAATTTCCCAGACATGAGGTTTTCAAATTTCTAAGGGAATTTTGAATTACTTGTATTTTTGATGAAACATCGCAAATTGCAATTATTAGCTCTCATAATATTTGAAGATCCATTGCTAAAAGTTTTTTTTTAAATGTTTGTATTAGTCCTTATCGCAGAATTATATTATATCAATACTACACACAAGGTTTTCAAACTTTTGGGGAACTGGAACATTTTTGTTCTCTTTATAAAACACTGCAAGTTATATAATGGCTCACTGTATAACTTCACATTTAAGTTCATGATTTCAAAAACAGCAGATATTCTCATTCTATATTATTATTCCAGTGGCTCACATGTTACGTCCAGACAGCCTTCACCAGTTGGTGTGGATTGGAATGCAGAGATACTCTGAAAAAGACAACACGCAGCCAGCTTGTAAGTCCTTTTCATTGATATATTCATCTGGATTTTTGCTTTAATGATTTATTTTTTCATTCATGCTACTTATTTATTTATTTTAATTTTGTTACTCTTTCAATTAATATGATTACTTGAAAGAACAAAAAATCAACTGAAATCGGGTTTACTTAGCAAATAATGTCTTCTCATATGTTTCAGTTTCCTTTTTAGGATCTTTGCATTTTGGCAGTCAAGTATTTTTGTTTTAAACAATTACTGATTATTACAGCAGGGAAGTCTTAGGTATTTATAAATTGTAAAAAGATAACTTTCAGAGTTATCAAAGTCATGGGCAATGATGGAAAGTTTTCACAATTTTTAATTGTGACCATCAGTTTTAATACTTCCAAAACTTTCAGATAATTTCCGTGTGTTTGATTCCCTCCAGTACAGTACAGGGAACTTGCACACTGGAAGTGCAGAGTCACTTTGTCAGCTGGATACAGAGGTAAGGGAAAAGATTAAATACCAAATCTAATATAGGTAATAAAAAGAGATGAAAGGAGTGATGATATTGTCATAGATATAGGGAATTGTTCAATATTGTGGTTTAATGGTACATAAAACTGAGGTCATCCTGCACACATTTAACTGATATGTAAAATTTCTAATTTTTATTTATTTTTTCGAACAGATGTTAGATTTTGGCTTCGCTGAAAAGATTTGAATTAAAAATGTAAGAAATAAAAGCATTTCTTGGATTTCATAAATACACTTTAGTTCTCAGCTTCAGAGCATCAGAAGAGCCTCCAGTCTACTATTGCTCAGTTGATCAACAGAGTAACTTTGATATCTTTTTGTAGGCATTTCTCTATGCAGTCATAAGAACTTGTGTGATGGGTCTCAAAGAACGCCATAGCCTTATTACCAGTTTTCCCGAGCAGCCATATTTGCTCCCAGCATGCATCTGTGATGGCCTCGTAACCAAGGAGCAATCAGAATGGTGGCAGGCAGCATACAAGTTGTATATGAATAAAGCAAAGTGTGTTAAACTGTTTTTATGTTTGTTTAAAGAGCAACAGACAATATTTCAGTAAAAGATCTCCAGTCTTTGATGAAATATATTTCAGTAAGGTTAATATGTTTTATGTCCGCTCAAATCTAGACCTGTATATATTTCATGTTTACCAAGTCACTAGATAATAAAAATTAGAAAAACATAAGGTACAAAGAGTCCACTGTAAGTAAATTTTTAAATTATAGTATTTTTCAGTCGGGTTTGAAGTTTGAAAGGTATTAGTCTTTTACCCACAAAGTAATACACAATTTTATCTCAGAATAAGAAACACAGGCCATGACATAATTTTGAAAATTGACTCGATTTCTTTCCTTCAGGGAAAATTTTGCCAAGTTACGTCAGACATTACAGCGAGGCCTGGAGGTGATCCGTCTTGTAGGGGCCCATGGTATGGACGTCAGATTAGTGGCACATCTGGCAAGGACCTTTGAGGAAAGGGTAGGTTGTTTCTGATATTGTTTTTTTCCCTAAATGTTTGGAGTCAATCATGCAATCATGTACCATATCATGATCATTTGAAGAAAGGACAGGCTGTTTGTAATTTATTGAGTTTTTTCTTTTCTGCCTTTCTTTTTTGTTCAATTGATGCATTATGCAGCAAACACTGTCCTTTTTTTCTTTTTTTTTTTTTTTAACTTCAGTAATACATGCAGATAATTGTTAATTTCATTGTCCTGTAGCATTCATATCACTGAGAGCAGGACAGTAAAAACAGAACCAATAATTTTGTACCATTTTGCAGGTGCTGGAGACCAAGGCCCAGGGCCAGTCGGCCTTAGACAATGCCAAGGACATTGACTGCCTGCGTCAGAGAGCCGCCCACTATTGGACTGCGGTCATTGATATGCTGGACAAGATAAAGAGGTGGGTGATAGAGGGAGGAGTGGAGATCAGGCAGTGGAGAGACGTGTGTGTGAGAGTGTGTGTGTGTGTGTGTGTGTGTGTGTGTGTGTGTGTGTGTGTGTGTGTGTGTGTGTGTGTGTGTGTGTGTGTGCGTGTGTGTGTGTGAGAGGGAGAGAGAGGAGTGGAGATGAGACAATGAAGATTTCTTTGGACTATTTATTTATGTATTCATTTATTTTATTTATTTATTATTTTTTTTACAGCATATGCTTTATCAAAAAATGCTATGTCATTGAGTTAGGAGCTGTCGAATTTGAGATTTTACTTTGACTATGATTAAAAGCTATTTCATTCATTTAAAGAGAAACAATTTGTGACTTTTAGCAACTATGCTTGCTGTGTAAATGGTACATGTACAAGGTATGTGCCTGGGTAAACCTGTCAAATTAAAATTACCGATGCCAAGGACGTACTGTTTTCATCTACGTTTGTCTGTCAGTTTGTGACCTTCCTAACTCGAAAAGCTATGGATAGATTTTGACGAAATTTTCAGCTTGGGTCAGAAACATGCTAAGTTTAAAAATTATTTTATTTCGGTGGTGATCTGTGATCACCATCTGGATCCAAGGATTTAAAAGGCTTCTCCAACATTGCTAAATATGGCCAATGACCTTGACCTTGTGCAATGGATGTGCTCTTAACTACCACAATAAATTATTGCAGGGTCCTTGGCGGAGGTCTGCTCTCTCCGAGATCTTTTTTAGTTGGCTTTATGAGTCTAGGGACCAGTTTCATAATAGAACTTTGGACAGAAATTTGGTCTAGACTTTGCCTCTTTCGTTTTTAGATCAATCTGCAATAGCCAACCGAAAAGATACTTATTAGTTTAAAATTGCAGTCACTTCTTTCTTGTTAGAAAGCACGTGCAATAGTTGTTATGAATACCATGAATCAGCAATAAGGTATATATGATGATCAAAGGTGTTAAGTATAAGTGGATGTCACATACTCATTGCTGCTGGCTGGTGGTATATCTGATTTGGGATTTGTTAAAAAGACCAACTGCCAGTCTAAAGATCTCTTCGGAAACTGGGCTCAACTTGTGTATGTAATAAATATCTACTCATACTATCAGCTAGATCCATTTCATTCCATTTGCAGTGTCATATCTGAACAGCAATGCATGCAGCTACAACCATATTACTTTATGGATAAATAATATTTGCGCTAGCACTGCTACATAACAAAAATCTGCACTATGCTATGCTGTGATAAAGGTTTTCAGTGGCCTCTAAATAAGTTGATAAAACAACAATTTATGACTTACAGACTTAGTAGTGAGAGTCACACGTGGAGTTTCAGTGGAGGAATTTGGTTTGTTTTGTTTACTCTCTAATTCAAGAATAATTCCGTCAATGTCATTTTGTAGGAGGTAAAAATTGTGGTTGGACATGAGATTGCATTGTCTTTAAATGCATTATTTTTGTATTTTGTTTAATTCAATATATATTTTTTATTAAATGCACTAGCAGATTTTCATTACTGCCACCAACTTTGTAGTAATTATGACCAGTGGCAGACATTTTATTATTAGCATACTTACTAAATTAAAGAATGATTACAGATTTGTTCAGATCAAATTTTTATTTTCAAAATTTTTTAGTGATCCATAAAAACTTCTTTCAAATTTAGCATTAACAAACAGAGTTAATGTTTTAGTTGAAACTGGTCATTTTCATATCATTGTATCCACTGAAACAATTTGTGTAAATCTTGTGATGCTTATCTTGTCTCTTTCGTAATAAATTTCCTCATTTTTGCTTATTTGAAGGCGTAAGGCTTTTGGCATACTTACATTTCTGTTTCACAGTCATTTCTTTTTGCAGAATTGTGTTGTTTAAAAAAAATTGATGATAATTAAAAAAAAAAAACTTATGCACTGTTTTATTTAGAACAAAAATACTTGTATTGTAAATGTACTCGGTGACAATCCAGAAAAGGGTCTGTACATTTGACAGCTACAACTGCCTATTTTTTTCATCTTCAGGAACATCCACCCAAAGCAACCCAGACTGGCGCTTTTCCCGCCCCAGGGTGAGGAGCTGACATCAATGGAGATGTCCGCCATGTCGAGAGAAGCGAAATTCTTCCTGGCTCAGGACGCAATGGAGATGGGAAAATACGAGGAGGCGCTGGAGAGTTTGGAAGCCCTCCCGACACCAGAAGCCTCTCATCTTCAAGCAAAGGTTTGTTTTGATTGAAACTGAAAGTGATCATTAGGGTCCTGTTCTGTGTATTTCAAGGAAATAATTTGAAAGCAAGTATTTGAGATTGGAAAGTTCTGATTCAAAATACGAACATCCTTACTCTGAGAGAGGCTTCACATTTTCACACTGTTGTCACATTTTGTGTGTATGAATATGAAGATCATTATTAGTGGAAAAAAAAAAGATCTGACACATTGTATGGCTTTAAGCCTGTAGATGCTGTAAAGACGAAATACACAGTTCCAGTGAATTCTTTCAGATCTACCAGCAGCTGGCAGAGGAAGAGAGGGACAACCACCCAGAGATGGAAAACAAGGAAGCAGCACTTCTCACCAAGGCTAGGGATTCTCTATATATAACTCTGGACAGAATCCGAACTGACAAAACACATGTGAGTGTCTGTCTGTGATGTTAACTCTGACCCCCTTTGCCAAATCAGAATGCCAGTAGCACTGTAGCCCTTCCATAGTGGTTAAGCCAGGATTTGAAATGGGGAGTCCTGAAGTTGTTTTCTTACTGAAGCTGGGCTTTCTCAGTGTCGTCGTCAAGTTACACAGCCAAGTCTGAAATTACTGTTGCACCTTATTTATTTGTTGTCAGCAAGTTATCCATTACATTTTGCTTAGAAAAATTAGTTGTTCATGTAGAAAGAGAAAGATTCTGCAGTGGGAGGGAAGATACAAGTTCTGTTTGTTTCAACTTGTATCCATAATTTTAAGGCCCTGAATGAAGTGCTGTCATCTGAGATAGAAGAAGTGGAGAGCAAGCTGGGGAGAATTGAGCCAGATATGGGTGAGTAGCAGTGGGTCATAGAAGATTCTGTAGATGGAATGTTTTTAGTTTAATAGCCCTTGATATGAAACTGTTACAACTGCTTTGAAATATATGAAACATTACTAAGCTATAAAACAACAATATATAGCAAAGAACTGCTGCTTTCAATCTTGATTCTGTTCATGTTTCCTAAAACAGGGTTTTGTTTTCTTTTAGTCCCCAATGCTGGCTCCTCAGACCTTTCAGATCAGGAGGAGGCTCCGTCCCTGGCTCTTCGCGACATCACAAACCGTTCCCGCTCCAAACTCCCAGCTCACAGTACGCCTCACAGGACGCGGCATGGGGAGTTGGATGCTGACTATACCAACTTAGAGGTACCTAATTTAACTTCTATTAACTAAACATTGGTGAAAATGCCTGAAGATATATCTTCACTCATAATGCATCAAGATATTCAAGATATTCACTTGTAATGCATCATATCATTATTTATTCATTTTTTAACTACTGAATAAAAGAAAAATGAGATGGGGTTAAACAAGCTTTTTTCCAGACATAAACCTTGATTTTTTTTCCCTTCATTTTTATTTTTAACAGAATCATGGCCACCTTCGTCCCAGTCCAGAGCGCCTTGATGCTGAAATCCGTTCACTCCGCTATTCCCAGGAGTCCATGGTCCACCTGATGATGCAGCGGAATGAAGAGCTGGTCGAGACAAACAAACGCTTCATGGATCAGCTGTTAGAGAGTCAGAAACGTCTGGCAGACAGCCAGAAGATCAACAGCGAGCTGATGGTAAACTGAATCTTCTTCATATATATATATATATATATATATATATATATATATATATATATATATATATATATAGTCATCCAGGTCATCCATATATATATATGTCTGTGTAAAGCCTATTATTCTTGACTTATTATTATTTTAATATCCTTAAAACTATTATTCTTTACACCCTTTAATTGTCTTTTTAACTGGCTTGCATTTTAGACCTAAAAACATACCTGAATGGTTTAAAAGTATTTTTATGATCATTTAGCTATTCACTGCAGTATTTTATAGACAGTGGTCAATTCTGTTATTGAGATAAAAAAATCTTTTTACCATCAGGAAAAAATGTCTCTCCAAGACAAGCTGATCAGAGAGCTGGAAGCCAAAGTCGCCGCCAAGCACCAGAGCCGCCCGTCCCCCATCCCTCCTCAGATGACAAGCAGTGTACCCTCGCCCTACGCTTATCCGCCCCCAATTCCAGGCTACCCAGCTACCCCATCGAGTTCACTTCATTATCTGCCGCCCCCACCCCCAGGGCCACCCCCAGGGACTCTGAGGTACCCCCCTCCTCCTGGCCCTCCCCCAGGGCCACCTGCAGACCCTGGGTTTAGAGGACTTGGGGCAGGACTTGGAGCAGGTAAACATACAGATAAATCACTGTCATAATAATTAGATCCCATTTAATATTAACTGTTTTGATCAGTACAAATTTTATGCTGTTTTTTTATATACAGACACTATTTATTATGACCATAAGTGTTATTGTAGATACAGGAAAAGTTGCTATATGCAACATACTTATATATGAGGAAAAAATTTCCCAGCTGTACAGACCAGTACAAATCAAATATTACTTGAAATCATGAAAAAAAGAAAATAGATCATTCTCATAAAAAATACACACCAGTAGAATATCTTTCATCTTGTGGAGTCTGTACATGAGTTCGTAAATGTTCTGAGGATGAGCAATTTTCTTCCTTCACTAGTGCCAGTTGTTCCCACAGCCTATGGAGATGATGGGTATGCTGGAATTGATGGAGAGACTTACGAGGATGACGGAGACTACCTGGATGACTATGGAGAGGAAGATGGTTCTATGAACAGGTGAGAATAGTGCTTTTATCCAGGGAATGGGAATTCTCCATTGTGTAGTATAATATTGTTTATGATTTTTGTCAGATGTTAGTGATGAACATTTATTCCACTTTATCAGATATTTGTAATGAAAGTTAGCATTTTGGTGGGGAAATATGCCTTACAAATTTAATTTAAAGATAAAAATATTTAGAAGTTACAATTTTATAGGATTTGTATGATTTTTTTGCATTTGTTTAATAACTTATAAAAATGTCAATACCCTGTTTTCAGGACATGTATTGTTATGTACTGTTATAGTATATTCAGGACATATATATCTAGAAAAGTAGTTTCCTCACATATCTTGAGATTATTTCTTTGCTTTTATAGGTACCATATACCAGATTCAGAGTTGGTCCAGGACTGGCCATATGGCAACGTGACCAAACTGGAGGGGAAATCCACCATCACTTACTCCCCACAACAGCGCCCTCCCTGCCCCACTGCTGCCGTTGCCCCAAACTTACCACCCCCACCCCCTCAGCAGCCTCAGTTTTACCAAATACCGGCCTACCTGCCACCTGGATTCCCTCAGATGCAGGCCACACCGCCTGGTGGTATGTATACCACAGGGCTGCCACAGATTGCCCCTGGGTTCTTCTCCCTGCCATCAGCACCTGGGCAGGTTGGGCTACAGAACACCACCCCTCTGGCTGCAGCCTCCCATGTTAAGTTACCAGCCATGACTGCAGCTGTGTCTACAGGGGGAGGAGTGGCAAGTCCTGGATTGGCAGGAGTGAGACCGGCTGTTCCACCAGCCACCTCTGCCACCCCCGCTGCAGCTGTGACCATGCCACCAAACGTGGTGATGAACTCTAGCATGTCAGAGCAGATGTCCCAGGCTGCAACCTCCCCAGTGAAGATTGGTGGGCACACTCCATACAAAATGGCCATGCCTGCAGGTGGTGAGGCAAAGGACCCTGCAACAGCAACGACATCTTCAGTTAATGCTCCTGCAATGGCATCCTCACCGAAGGATAGTATTCTGAAAAATCTTATAATGGCTGACACAACCAGCTCTTTGGTGTCAAAACCAACATCTGAACCTAGCAGTCCCACAAAAGGTGGCCATGATGATAGTGCAGGTGAAGGGCATGATGAATCTTACAATGGGGCCGATTTTGAGCCCGTGATTCCTCTACCAGATCTGGTGGAGACACCTACTGGAGAGGAAGATGAGGACATTTTGTTCGAGAATCGTGGCAAGCTGTACAGGTTTGCTGACGCTCAGTGGAAAGAGCGTGGAACAGGAGTGATCAAGATTTTACATAATACCAAAAACGGGAAGGTGCGTATTCTGATGCGGCGAGATCAGACCATGAAGGTATGTGCCAATCACTACATCACGCCAGAAATGAAACTCCTGCCAAGTGTGAACAATGATAAAGCATGGTCATGGTTTGGCATGGATTTTGCCGACGAGCAACCTACAAAGGAGAACTTCACCTGTCGGTTCAAAACTACTGAGATTGCCTCACAATTCAAGGAGAACTTTGTAAAGGCAATTGAAATAGCCAAGAAAGAGAAGACAAAGTCTGAGAAGACGACAACAGCAGCAGCCTCGACAACAGCAGCAGCCTCAACAACAACAGTGACCCCCAAAACTGATGGTACAACTTCCTCTTGGGGGGCAGCGTTGAGGCCTCCAGCTGGCAACTGGGAATGCGGGATGTGTCTGGTGAGCAACCCTGGTGATAAGACCACATGCATGGCATGTCAGACTCCCAAACCAGGAAGTAAACCTGTACAGGAGTCCACAGGACAGAAAGTCACAGGGTTCTCGTTTGGGGTGCCAGGACTCCAGACAAGTAAGAGTGAGACAGGCTCTGCAATAATTGGAGAAGGAGGATTCAAGTTTGGGTCTTTTGGGGCCACGACCTCTAGTGGCCAGCCTACTGCAGCACCTAGCGATAGTTCTGCGTCTGCTGTGGCAGCAGTACCCAGTGGAGGTTTTAAGTTTGGTTCTTTTGGAATAAGTTCCAGTCAGCCGTCTGGTGGGGAGAGCAGTAATACAACAACAGCAGTGCCACCTAGTGGAGGTTTTAAATTTGGAACAGTGCCAGCCCAACCAGCAGCTGCAGCAGCTGAAAGCACTGCCGTTACTCCACCTACTGGAGGTTTAAAATTTGGTGGTGGTATTACAGGAACTGGGCTCACATTTGGTAAGCCTGCAGCAGCGACAACCAGCAGCTGGGGATTCAAGTTCGGGACTTCTGAACAACCAGGGGGCACCACTGCAGCTACTGATGGGACGAAACCGGCCATGACAGTGACCATTCCACCTGCTTCTTCTTCCTCTGATTCAACAACTGAAAGGAAAGGATTGCTGTCCCCACCGAAATTAAATGTTGACTCAAAATCTCCTGGGGCAGCATCCACCCTATTGTCATTGCTCGCACAGAATCATGAGAGTAGCCAAGATAAAGAAAAGGCCCAACCCAAGTCGGATGATACAGCCAAGCCACAGTTTGGAGGGTTCACATTCACAAGTCAGCCTATTGTGAAGCAGATTGAGGAGACTAGTACGAAGGGACCAATATCTGCTGATACGAAAGCTGCAGGGGCAGCAGCAGCAGAGAAAAAGAAAGAGGAGCCTAAACCTTTTGCTGGATTCAGCTTCTCATCAAATACTGGTAGCGGGTTCACCTTCACGCCACCCTCCACAACAGCTCCTAAGAGCACAACTGCAGTCAAAGCACCAGCTCCTGCAAATGAAGCACCAAAAGAGAAGCCCAAACAGGAACATGTGTTTGGGGAAAATGCATCAGGTGCTTTATCCTTCACTAACCTGACGGATGCTGTGAAAACAGCCGATGCCTTCAAGGGCAAGGAAAATTTCCAGGGGTTTGCCGGAGCAGGAGAGAAGGTGTTTGGCCATGACACTTCCACCCAAGTTTCTGGATGGTCCCTCACAAAGAGTCCAGGCAGAACTAGAACTGAGAGCGAGGGCACTGCTCCGGAGGAGTTTACTCCTCAAGATGACTTTAAGCCCCTGGTATCTCTGCCAGAAGTTGAGGTCAAAACAGGTGAGGAAGAAGAGATTAAAATTTTTGGCGAACGAGCCAAACTGTACAGGTTCGATAAGGATGCCGCTCAGTGGAAAGAGAGAGGAGTTGGTGAGATTAAGTTGCTGAAGCAAAAGGATGGCGTGGCATTTCGTGTACTCATGCGTAGAGAGCAGGTCCACAAGCTGTGCGCAAACCACGCCATCACCAAGGACATGGAGCTGAAACCCATGTCTGACAGAGCTTGGATCTGGCTGGCCGCTGATTTTTCAGAAGAGGAAGTGAAACACGAAAAACTGGCCGTGAAGTTTAAAAATGAGGCCCAGGCCAAAGACTTCAAGGAAAAGTTTGAAGATTGTCAGAAAAAGATAAGAGAGTATGAGCTTTCATCTGGGAAAGAAACCACGCCTAAAGAAGCAGGAGTCGACTCAACTGCTGCGGCCTCTGCAGGGAAGTCACTTTCAAATCTCTTTAAGCCCAGCCCTGGCAGTTGGGAGTGCACTGGTTGTTATCTAAGAAACAATGCGGATGTTTTGCAATGCCCAGCCTGTAATACACAAAAGCCTGGCACACCTACAGCACCCAAGCCACTCTTTACCACAAAACCAACAGGAACTTCACAGCCCGTAGATAACTCTCTGTCTGAGATGTTTAAGCCAAAGGCCGGGAGCTGGGAATGCACTGGTTGCTACTGCAGGAACGAAGCATCGGTTTTGAAGTGTCCGGCCTGCGACACCCTGAAACCAGGGGTAGATTCAACTAAGGTAGAGAGTCAGGCTGCCCCAGCAGTTAGCTTTGGTACTCAGGGTATTACCAGTGGCGGGTTTACATTCGGAGCCAAGCTTGGTGCATCTCTCCCCTTCACTGCTGGTAAAGATTCCAGTAAGGATGCGGCGCCATCTTCGGGACAAGGGTTTGTTTTTACTTCAACACCCGCGATAACACAACCCGTCAGTGGTTTTGTATTCGGGAGCGGACCCAAACCTGCCCCTTCCACTACATCCTCCGCTCCTTCAACTGGATTTGTATTTGGAGGTTCACAGGATGTTCCAGCTGCATCCACGTCCACAACTACCAGCACACCTTCAACTGGATTTGTATTTGGAGGTCCACAGGATGTTCCAGCTGCATCCACGTACACAACTACCAGCACACCTTCAACTGGATTTGTATTTGGAGGTCCACAGGATGTTCTAGCTGCATCCACGGCCACAACTACCAGCACACCTTCAACTGGATTTGTATTTGGAGGTGTTCAGAGCCTTCCTTCTGCATCCACGTCCACAACCACCACCACCACCAGCACCTATTCAGCAGGATTTGTGTTCGGCCAGCCGCAAGGAAGCACAGGGAGTACGTTTGGTATCTCTACGTTCAGTTGGAGTGGAATCCAGCCTTTCACACCCACCAAGGCAGATAAAGGGAAATCACCTGTGAAATCCCCCGTGAAATCGGGTGCCCCGCTGTCTCCTGGCTCACCAGGGGCAGACAGTGACTATTATAATGAGGAAGAAGATGAGCATGAACATTATTTCGAGCCTGTGATTCCCCTGCCAGATAAGATTGATGTAAAGACTGGAGAGGAGGAGGAAGATGTACTGTTCTGTCAAAGGGCAAAGTTATTTAGGTAAGAAAAAGTTATTGGTCACATTTTAAAACTGAAAATATGATTGTAACTTTTCTTGAAAGTGCTTAAGGAATAGATTGTTAAGATTTATGTAAGTTATAAGTTTTTTGTTTTTACATCTGTTTGTAATTAAAGGTCTGTTTTTGTGTGCAAGTTTTGATTGACCAATGGACTAGACATAATTATCTTTTTTTATTGGTAAATGCAATACTTTTTGATCAGAAGTTTTTTTAATGTATGATTTTTCTGTTGTTTTTACATATAATGCTTATAAAAGAATGATTACATTTATACCATGAAAAGAATGTGCAAACTTAAGAGCATCATAATAAACATCCCTTTTCCATATTGCTGTTCTCCAGGTTCACTGACAATGAGTGGAAGGAGAGAGGGTTAGGAGACATGAAGGTTTTGAGGCACAAAGAATCCAAGGCTGTGAGACTCCTCATGAGACGAGAGCAGGTATATATTTATATATTTATTTATTTGTTTGTTTGTTTGTTTGTTTGTTTGTTTATCTGTTTCTTTTTAGTCAGCATGTAATCATCATTTTTTCCAATGTTTACATTTAATTGTTAATATTTAGTAGTTGAGATCTGTAAAAAAAATAATGTCATGTTAACTCTTTTTTAACATTTTGATTTCATCACAGTTGTTTATACCAATTTCTCCTTTTGATGAAAAGATCCATATTATAATTATTTCAGTCATATTTGTATGATATTTGCAGGTGCTCAAATTGTGCTGCAATCACTACATCACACCTGAACTGGACCTTAAACCCATGCCCAGCGCACATGGGAAAGCCTGGATATGGCACGCAATGGATTTCTCTGAAGATTCAGGGAAACATGAGAAGTTGGCCATTAAGTTCAGATCTAAAGAGATCGCTGATGAATTCAAGCAGGTCTTTGAAGATGCTAGGGACAAGAAAGACATTCCAGCCTTGCCAGAGTTCTCTGACGGAAATAAATCAGGAACAGGCACTCCTAATCGATCCCCGTCCAAATCACAGCAGAGTAGTAGTTTTGTTTTCAAAACGCCCGACCTGGCAACCAGTCCAGGCTTCTCACTGGGTGCCAAGTTTGGATCACCACAGGGAACAGGGGGTGGGTCTGTGTTTGGTGGAGGTGTGTCACAGGCAACGGGAAAGAGTCCACTGGCTGGCCTGAGTAGCCATAGTCCATTTGGAGGGAAAACGAGAGATGAAGAAGGTAAGGAATTCTTTTATTAACTTCGATGGTGAAGTTCTCTGATAGAAAAGGACATGTTTAAGAACAGTCTGCCAAAAACCATCAAAGTGCAAGAAAAGGTGACGTATATTTACTCTGTGCCAAAAAAACTTCTTTGCATTCTGTCCCTTTTGGGCAGCATCATCCTAAAATCCACTGGCCCAATACAGAAATAGTGACTGTTTTTGCTAGCATTTGGCCTGGAAGCTGTGATTACTTCACATATTGTATCAGTTCCTCATTACATAAAATCGGAAGAAATTGATATCATTAGTATGTCTGTTTCTCAGATGGAGAGGTAGAATTTCTTGGCGAGGAATTACCCAGTAAGGAGAAGATTGAAATGGCCAGGCGCTTCTTGTTACCTGACTGTTTCTACAACTATGAGAAGAAACCTCCGTGTCCCGGTTGTATAGGCTGTGAGGATTGGGAAGAAAAGAAGAAACTGATCCCCAAAAGTCCTGCAAAAGCACAAGGCAAGTAGAAACACAAATCTTTCCATGACTTTGCGACTTTTTAGCCATCCTTCTTTTTCTGAGCGAAAAAAGGGCTTAGAGAGTTGCTGGCCTTTGTATAAAGTGATAAAAAATGGTAATAATGATAATAATAATAATAATAAAAAAAGAAGACCTATGGAGGAGGGGTTGGTTTTCTTTTTTTTTACCCCACTCTGGCCTCTTCATATTGATATATGTTGTGATTGTTTTGCAGGTGAAGGCTCGCTGCCTCAGTCAGGGAAAGAGAAGGCTGTGGTAGCAGCAGCAGGTAAGTGCTTTGGTATTTTGAAGCATAACATCAATAGCAAAATTTGAAAACGGAAGTCTTTTTCTTTTTCATTAGTATTATAGAGTTGATGAAATTGATAAGCACATTGTCTAACTTTAAACCTTGCTTAACTCTTAGGAGTTATGATAGGTATACTTCTCAGAAAATATAGTTTTTATCTCTGTTTTTGTTCATTTTATCATATTTTTTTCAAACTCCGACATTTTCTCCTCAGATTCCACCAGTGAAGGTGCGGGTATGGGTATCTTTGGCCAGTCGGCCTCTGGTGGGTTTGATTTTGCTGCTTTAGCGGCCCAGGCAGGAAAGACCGGTGGAGGGTTTGGGAAAACCACAGGTAGTGGATTTTTTTATTTTAATTTTTTATTAATTTATTTTATTTATTTATTTTATTTATTTATGCAATAGAAAGAAAAGGAAATTATAATAAGTGAAGTATAGATATACTAAGCACCGTTTGACATTTTTGTAAGGCTCAGTGTTTTCTCTTATTATAATAAGTTTTCATTTACTGGTTTATCTTATTTGAGACTGTATTTACATTTTGAGTGGTTGTTTACATTGTTGTCGCTGAATGCTCCAGAGTCATCCAAATCATTCACCTGGGGTGGCACAGCAACGCCATTGTTCCAGACTAAAAAAGCAGTCGATGACGGAGAGGGTGATGACGATGATGTGGAAAAGGCGCCAGATGTCCACTTTGAACCTGTGGTAGAACTGCCTGACCTGGTGGATGTCAAGACTGGTAGGTATCACTTACTGAATTCCCTCCTCCTCCTCCTGAAGAACACTCCCGCCCCCCTTCTCTCTCTCTCTCTCTCTCTCTCTCACACACACACACACACACACACACACACACACACACACATACACACACACACACCTTTGGGTGGATAAGACAACATTAGAAAAAGTAGAAATCATCTAAATTTCATGTTTAAAATACAAGTCTTAATATGCAAAGACGGAGAAAGTACAAACAAAAATATATGTTAGAGCAATACAATACATCTAAATCCAATACAAATGAGTTAGCTTCCACAGACCAAACAAATACAATCAGTGTTAGAAATTAAGGCTGGACTGTCTGCCTGGGGCTGACAACTTTCAGAATGGGCTGAGCAGTTATCCCACCCGGCAGACATTCGAGCCAGCTACTTCTCAAGATGGCTGAACTTTCTGTCCAGCAACTAATTTTCCTAAGAGGCAAAAACTGAATACAATACTAAGTATTATGCTTTGTGAATATAAGAACCAGATGAATTGTGTTGTATTATCAGGGGAGGAGGATGAGGAGGTGGTGTTCTCTCACCGTGCCAAGCTGTACAGGTTTGACAGTAACCAGTGGAAGGAGAGAGGAGTGGGGGAGATGAAGCTGCTCTGGCACAGGGAAACAGGTGGGTTAGGATTTAGTTTATTGTGCTGAACTAATGAAAAACAAGTGCCTCTTCACTAATAGATGATTAGATGTATGAGATGTGCAGCTACTCAGAGAAGTCAAAGGTTGATATAAAAACCTTGCATAACATTTTTAGTCAAATCTATGCCCGTTTTCATTTAGAGAGATCTTTCTTTTTCTCTCACATCCAGGCAAGGTGAGAGCCCTGCTGCGTAGAGAGCAGGTGCTCAAATTAGCATGCAATCATTACATAACTCAGGAAATGGAGCTGAAGCCCATGATGTCCTCAGAGACCGCCTGGTGCTGGTTGGCCGTGGATTTCGCTGGGAATGAAGCCAAACATGAGCAGTTTGCTGTGAAATTCAAGGTAAGATTCCCCCATTCCTCATGCCATGTATTACAGTGTGACACTGAATTTAAAATTCAAGGTGTGTTCTCCCAATCAGAGCTCATCTGGAGGCATGATATGAACTAATATTTGGGGTAAATTTTTCTGTTTTATGTCTTACGGTGCACCATAAACCTGAAAATTGTAGAAGGATGGAAGGTAGCTAAAGATAATCCAATGTGTTTTAGTAAACTGGTTTCTGAAAATGTTTTGGATAATTTTATTGTATTTCTCTTATAAGTAAAAGCTCAACCTTATTGGTTACAATTGAAATTAAAAAATGATAATAAGTATTATTATTATTACTATTAGTATTAACTTCTTTCAATTTAGACTCAAGAAATAGCCAAACAGTTCAAGGCAAAGTTTGAAGAATGTCAGAGGCTGCTGAGTGAACCCAGAGGTAACTTAAGAAAACTATATTAACTCTGATATATAATTTCTTTTCTTTTTAATCATCTGCTGCATGATTAGAAATCTCCAAACCAACCTGTATGTTCTTTGATATTCTTGGCTTTAGCTTGGTCTCTTGCATTTACTTTACAGTTTGGCAATTTGATTATTTGCTATTTTAATTGATTTCTATTACTTCTGTGTCCACATTTTGTCCTTGGAAGGCACAGAGATGTGAAAATGGAATCAAAATTACAAAATTGGGGTTTATAAATTCAGATGAACTAGTTAGTTTCTAACATGAGTATTCTGCACGGTTTACTATTTTTTGTCCATGGAATATTTTGTGATTTAAAACAATCAATGATTTGAATCATTAGAAGTTTTAATCAGCATGGCATTTCTAGCTTAGAGTCACAGCATGAATTGTAATGGTGGAAGGTTTTGAAAAAAGAATACATAAGTACACAGTAAGTGCTGTAAATGGCTGACGTGAAAATTGTATTGAAGAGGAATATTATTACCAAATGCAAGGTTTGAAATAAAGCTTATTTGGCTGCTTTTTGTTATATTTCTTGAGTTCAATTTTTTCTGACACTATCGCAGTTAAGATACAGTGATTGTTCTAGACCATAAAAAGATAAATCAGGCTTGTTGGTAGAAAGGATATAATCAGCAAATTCTCAAATGAGAGGTGGCTTGTTTACCCTAATATATTAATTGGAGATTTGAAAGTGGTGATCATAATGCATGCTTCACTTGCCATGGCTCAGTTAATGCACTGTGATTAGTTCTTACTATGATTATAACAGTAAGCTAGATTATATGAGATCCAACAGAATGAGTTAAAAGAATACCAGGAAATATTTTGCTTGAACAGTGATTATTTAATTAAAAATTGATAGCTGTTGTGATATGGAAAATGTATTCATCAAAGCTAATAAAGTTTTCAGCCACTAGCTAGCACCCTGCATTTCATTAAATATTAAACGAAAACTCAGGTCTATGACCAACTGTTTGCTGGTCAGGAAGAGTTACTTTCAATACTATGAAACTTGGGGTACAAGCTTGCAGTTTTTCCAAATGCAGTATTGACGAATAATTATGTGTTGGAAAAGCCCATTTAAAGAATTATCCAAGTATGCTGTACATTTGGGATAGTTTGTGGCAGTTTTCCAGCAGTAAAATGGGTCTCCTGCCATTTCTTCATGCCCCTCCATGTATTTTTGACTGCAAAGAACTTGGGAGCTAGTTATAACAAATAAGGGCACATTTGTAAAATGCATGGGTCAGTTAAAATATATAGAGTCCAAAACCTTGTTTGATTCATAAGTGGGTGGAATACTTTCCTGCATTTCCTACAGCAACAGAGACGTGACAAGGTTAACAATGAGGTTGACATTTATCATGGCATTTGCCCATTGCCAAATACCTGCCAAATTTGTCATAGTCAGGTAAACCCCTGCTAAAACTTAGTATTAGTACTGTGTTTTCATATGTGAATAAGTCCATCAGATGTACTCAAACCTTGTTTTATATAAAAAAAGTATGTATTTTAAGACTGTATGATATATTTTAGATATAATAATAACTTTTCAAGGAATTTTTTGCATTTGGGAAATTTTAAGTCGAGAGTGGAATAAAGCAATGATTCTGTATCGTGACTATATTATATATCCTCAGTTTAAGAGTAGGAGTAAGGGAAAAGGCATAATTTTCCTGTTAGCAGGGTTAGGATGTCAATGCTAGTAGTAGCATTACGACCTTGTGCCTGTCACAATTCCTAAATAAATCTAAATGACTGCTATTACAAATAACAGCAAATTTTAGATTCCTGTAAATCTTAATTTGCTGTGAAATATGACTGGCAAACAACAAACACAATTTTTTTAAATCTAAAATATCTAAATTAAAGTTTCTTCATAATTTCTTTCTTCTTGCACAGGTAGATATACTTGATAACAAGCCAGTCATATTTGACCCTTTGCGTGACGTGAAGCTACCTGCATGTACAGTGTTATTAACAGGTCGTTTTCAACCATAAATTGTATGAAATGAAATCATTATGATAAATCTTACATGCATGCTACGCTTACAGGTCCACCCTCCTTTTGCTTGAAGAGTAGGATTTTATTTCTGTCACAGAAAGCACTGCAAAGTGGTGTTTTTGGGTCAAACAGAGAGTCCCATAGAAAAAAGAAGCCTATTTCTGATAGATTTGGGAGACATTTTAATAAGAACAGGGTTGCTTCTCATCTAAAGGGAGCTTATCACTTGGAAAGCTTTATGCAGGTTGAAAGCAAACATTGGTGATTGAGTCATAAGATTAATGGACGTCTAGACACTGTTTTTTAGTTGTTGCACAGGTGATTTTAACCTTTGCTGCTGAGGACAGTTATAATTTATTCGTGACAAGGTTGCTCGGCCTTGGATGCTGACCAAGATGTTTGCCAGGGAAGTTTACTGAAGCACATTTTTTTTCAGTTACATGTCTCTCTAGTCAAAATCATAGTAACGACAGTGGATTGCAGCATATTTGCAGACACTTCCTGACTTCGTTCTGCTATATCTGACATAGTATCCTAAGATTTGCAATAGCCGTCTTCTATTGTTAGATGGTGACGTGTGGATTTAAGTTATATCTTTAATGTAAATTATTGATATGATTTAAAATTGCCAGACAATGGGAAACATATTGGGATATCTTTACCAGTATGTGGGTAAGTGCATTCATAAATTGCTATGAGACTGATCTTGTTAAATATAGTCATGGTAGTTTGCTATGTGCGCATTTGATGTATAATTATCAGTTGTAGTATTGTGGATGTAAAGCCCCTTATTGAGTGGTATAGTTTAGTGATATGGTCTGTAACACTGAAAGTTCCCAATCTGTAATTACACTGCAGGTTTTATTTCTCGCTTTCACAAATTTGCTTTCTAAATTTTGGGTGGAAGTTTATGGATTGGCCGTGTCTAGTGCAGGGGATCCATTAAGTTGATATTTTTACTTTTGGTGATAGCCAGACCACCAACTTGTCAGTCACTCAAATTGTACCAGTACAGACAATATAACTAAGGTATATCACTTAACATGAAAAGGACATTTGTTGAATATCTGTGATTTGCAATGAATGTATTTGCTATCAGTAGTGGAAGTGTGGATATAAAAAGTAGGATAGTCTTACCCCTCCATAGCTTGAAGAAAGGGGATTCCTCAGCCTCTTATCCTATTTTTTTTTTCATTTTGATAACAAGGCAGTTGACTAAGATTTATTTATAGGCTTATGTATAAATTATTTAAAGTGAGTTATTAACTTATAATTTATTGCTACGTACACCTATGTGAAGCATGGGTCGTTGTGAGCCTTATTTTAGTAAGAGGAAAAAAGACATCTCCCCACAAAATAAGTTGACTAAGATTTATTTATAGGCTTATGTATAAATTATTTAAAGTGAGTTATTAACTTATAATTTATTGCTACGTACACCTATGTGAAGCATGGGTCGTTGTGAGCCTTATTTTAGTAAGAGGAAAAAAGACATCTCCCCACAAAATATTTATCTGTTTTAACAGGACAGGGGCTCTCATAGCATGGGTCACCACAATGCTGTAGCATACAATATGCAGCAGCAGAGAAGGATAGATGTTTATCTAATGGGTTTTCCACTGTATGGACACACAGATGTAGGCGTAGCAGTTAAATAACAGCCTACACTGGGCGGGAGGACTTGGGGATGATTTTATACATTGAGGGTATTGCTTACGGCTGAATAGAAGTTCAGGGAAGAAATAATGGCTCACTGTGCACAGATATGTGTGTCTTTTTGTTGATTTATTGCACTACACTACATTTGGACACAAATTGTGTACAGGCAAGTGTGAAGAGACGATGTGGCAAGCTCTCGGGGGTGATTGAGTTTATATAGAGCATGCTTCCTGTGACATGATTTCAGTGAGGATTGAGAGGTCTTGCTGACAGGTAATAGAACTATAGACATCTGTTGACAGTCGGTGACCAATTTTTCCACTGCTTGGTTGCACAGGTTTAAGTACGACATTGTCATATAATGGGACATTAAGCTGATGTTTTTATATAGAACAAACTGTCTGTGATTCTACATATATGAGGGTAAGGAGCATGCATGTTCACTCACTTTAAACAGGATAATATTACAGTGACTGCAGTATGGTTTAATGATACAGTCTTGTCGACGGCTGCCTGGATACACAGCTATGTCAAGGTGTGGTAATAACACAGGAAGGAAAAGTTGACCTGGAGGCGCCTGTGGAGTGATACACTATAACACAGGTGTAAATATCACAGTTGACAAACTTCAAGCTAGGGCAGTTTTTTTGGAGGTAACTGGAGCCTCCTATATGTTCCACAGGGAGACATACATGCCCTTTATTTTGATGGGATAATATTGATGTAAGAAAAAGGGAAAGCACCTGCAAGGAAGTGATCGCAAGGAGATTTAGTGCTCACATAGGACACGCCCACTGGGATATTTGTACATGTTATTTTAAATCAATGTTTCCCTGATAAAGGATAATGGATTTTCTGGAATAGTCGTACTCTACTAGATGATATAATACTGCCTGTTTAGTAATAAGAAGGAAGGGGAACAACATGGTGACGGTGATCCATACAACGATGCACTTCTTGGGGATGTTGAGGGACTCGTTTAATGCCTTCTGGTATTACCTAGGTGAGGTATCAGAAAAAGAAGTGTTTATTATGTAGAAACATGTTATAATCCCATTATTGTGGTGAAGTAGGTTTTTCATTGTTGTGTAGCGATGAGAGCTAGCTCATGTCAATAAGATGAGGTATTTCATTTTCAGATGAATGTAGTGATCATGGTATATAAAAAGTATGCATATCACCAAGTCAGTTATAGTCGAGGCCTTTTGAGGAAGGGTTGGAAGATTTCTCACAGTTAGGTAGAAAACACTTCTAGTCTCTTTATAATCTATTTACCTTGTCATCAATTCCCATTATTATATTTTAATTTTTGTTTGACGTCCAGGTTGTCAAAATCTTAGTTACACTAGACGAAAAGTCCTTATACTTAAGCTTATACCTCTGTTTACAAGGTTTTTTATTACCTGATTTAATATGATATAGCATGGAGTGTAAAGATACAATATAAGGGTGGTGTCCCATAATAATACATTTGGTGCAGCAATGTAATGTAGGTCAGTTAACATGAATTATAAGAACAGTGTAGCTGAAATGTAGGTCAGGTATGTATAATTAAGGATCTATTATATAATATGGTCAGGTATGTAGTGTTTAGGATATATGAATAATATATTCTAGTCAGAATGTTTGGTCAGGTTTAAAGCCTCCACGTTACAATATCCCTATGTACTATAGATTGTGATCTTGTGCCCTAGTTCAAAATTTATGTAGTGTTGTTATGAAAATGACAACTTAGTACAGATTGTCAGGTAAAATGTTAGTTAGGAAGCACTGGCACAGGATCAATTTGAATTTCAAGGTCAGTTTTGACATTTGGAAAATAGGAATGGATCCCTGGTGTTAAATTTAATGTGTGACCCTCCATGGCTAGGCATAAATGCATGTTTTGGCAGGAGATATCTTTCTAAGTGGGTTTGAATGTGTGTGAGCGACATATTATGAGATTGTGTGCACGTGGTTGCATACCTGTATGTGTGTTTTTCTGCATGTGTGTGTGTGTGTGTGTGTGTGTGTATGGGCTGTGTGTGTGTGTACAAATGTTGTACATGAGCCTTCTCAGTTCTTTTCTTGCTCATATATTTGGGCATACTCTTAAATAGTGATATGTGGTTTTATCTGAATGGTTAGTTTTTCTGTTTTTTTTTTTCTTTTTTTCTTGTGAAAAAAAAACATTAAAACTTGAACAAAAAATATTCCAATTGAGAGAAACAAAAATTCAATATTTTTCATATTTATTTTCCCTTCCCATGAAATAATAATAAAAAATAGAATCATAAAGTTCAACACATTCCCATTTCCTATATGCATCCCTTTTGTGTGATTTACAGATAATTATGTGCCGTAAAAGAAAAGTGCCCACTTTTCATTATGTAGTGAAGCCATTAAACTTCATGGTTGTTCACCAGAAAAGGCAAATGTTAACTTTTTAAAGAATAAAAGGAAAATTTTATACTTGCAAGGGACTGTGATAGCCATTAGTGTGAGACATGAAGTCTGAAATATCATAAAACAAAATACTCTCTCTTTATTTTATTTTTTAGCTTTAGTCACAAAGTGAATCAGTGGAAAAGGCAAGCATAGTATAATATCATCATACAAAAAATTGTACGGTAACAGCTTTTAGTTTTATTCATAAAAAAAAAAAAAAAATCAGTGCTTCTGTTTTAAGCTTCAAGCAATGCTCTGGATATCTTATATTTGAGTGAAAATTAAAAATTTGAAAAATTAAAAATAAGAAGTATGTTTTAAAATAAATATATAAGCATTTTTGACTGAAATTTAAATGTTTGCAAAAGTTAAGAATGAGAAATTTGACTTAAGAATATCAGTAATATACTAAGTATAAGTTAAATGTTTGAAAAAAAGTTAATTAAAAGTATGTTTTAAAAGTATCAAAAAAATAAGCACATTTTAAGTGCTGTTATGTGTATGTGGGCATGTATGTACGTTTGTTTTCTTGTCCATCTGTGTAGGTTCAAAGAAATACAGGTCTGTAAAAGATTCAAAAAGATGGACTTAGCCTTAGATGTTTCCTGTTATATAATGATATTAATGACCAGTCAAATTAGTGTACACTAACACCCATGGACTTAACAGAAATCACTATTTCAGTTTTTAGAAAAAGATCTGGATATTTTCTTTGCTTGACTTCCTAGGAATAATTTCTGTTCCAAACCAATTTTAAAATTTCAGTAATGCATTTTATTTTTTTATTTATTTTATTTGTTTGTTTTTTAAAGTGTCTTTTTATGGTTGTGATAAATGTAGGTCAAAAGCACATTAAGGAAACCGTGCCAGAGTGGACACGGGTCTTGTTAGGGGACATAATTAATGAGGTGTCCAATTTAACAAGGCGAAAAAGCACTGCCCAACACATTTAGAAAGGGTTTAGTTAGATTTAACAAGGACAGCAGTTGAACATGGTACTGGAAAGTAGGTATTGTGCATGAAGCTGTCTTTTTTCCTTTTTTTTTAGCATGGAAAATTAGATTTTAGTATTTTATTGTAGCATTACAGTGCTTGGATCTACTTTTGCTTGAAACTGCAAACCTAATTTTGTTTTTTCTCTAGGCCTTTGTTGGTTGAAAAAAGAATGAGAAGCATTGGATTTTGTATTCTTGTAGTATACTTGGATGCAATTAGTGTGGGGGAAAGATATACTTAAAATATGTCACGGTAGGTAGGGGGAAAATGTATATATAACAATAGGTATTTTTTAAAGTGTGTAATTCCTTTGTAGCTCCAACACAGGAGAGCTCCACTGGGAAACAAGACACGCCTGTCCCAGAGTCCCCAATAGTTGCCACCACAGCAACTCCCCTGGGAGACAAGGGAAACCCTTACTATACAAGAGAACTAGACACAGAAGCTAAAGAGGGAAGTATAGCACCTCGGGTGGCAAGGGAATGTGGCGGAGATCGTGGAAACTGGCTTTACACGCGGGAGTTAGATACAGAGGAAGAAGAGGGCGTGATAACACCCCAAAATGCCTCAGAATGTGGCCCCAGGGAGGTAGAAGAGAATTTAGAGCCAGAAAAGGCCAGCATGACTGGGGGTGACTTAGGGAATTGGCGATATACAAAAGAGCTCAATGTATCCGCACAAGAAGAAGTGATCAAACCGTCTTCTGGGTGGGGGACAGGAGGGGGCGACACTGACTTGATAGAGCCCAAGACAGCCTCAACCACAGGCGGTGCAGGTAACACACTTTACAGCCAAGAGCTAAATACATATGCACAAGAAGAAGTGATTAAACCCTCATCTGGGTGGGGGACAGGAGGGGGCGACACTGACTTGATAGAGCCCAAGACAGCCTCAACCACAGGTGGTGCAGGTAACACACTTTACAGCCAAGAACTAGATATCGCTGAACTGGAAAGTAATATCATACCCACAAGAGGGGTATTAACAGGTGTTGGAGACAGAGGAGGGGTCTTTTTGGGGGGCAGGGGTAGCCCAATGTACTCCCACACTTCTGGAGTCGTAGACGAGGTGATAACAGCCAAACTGGACTTCGCCACTGAAGATGATGTGGACAGCGACTCTGCACCTGCGATCCAAGAAGACATCATCTCTTCAACCCAAGGTTCCGTCACTGGAGGGGGCCTCGGTAACACAAAGTACACTATGGAGCTTAACGCAGCAGCAGCCGAGGGTGTCATCTCACCTGCAATGGCTTGGCAAACTGGTGGAGGTGACACCTATCCCAGGGTTCCAGTGGAGGAAGCAGTGGAACCGTCGTCAACCACTGGCACTGGGGGAGGAGATGGGAATGCGCTTTACTCTCGAGAGCTTGATGTGGAGGAGGCTATCACACCTGGTCATGCCTCAATCACAGGGGATAGGGGGAATCCTGAGTATTCTAGAGAGCTGGGAGAAGGTAAGGTGTTAAGGTGTTCTGCAAAATGGTGTATTGAAGGTTAGCAAGACAACTTATATGATTATGTAGTATAGATGTGATTTTATTTGTTTGCTTTTGTTATGCAGGCAATTGAGAATTTAAAAAAGATAACTACAGTTGAAATAAAAATCCATGTTAGGTATCCTAAAGTTGTTTATTTTGCATATATGCTAAGTAAAGTAACATTTTCTAGAGTAAGTATAAATGTTCTTTTCTTAAAAAAGGGATATTTAAGATGAGAAATGAACCAAAACAAAAAGCCAAACTGTAAAGTGAGGAAGCCTACATGAAAAAATACCACTCCCTTTTTCTGTGCAAAGTTTGGGATTTTCTAACCATGCATTGTAAAAACGGATATTGTGAAGAACATTTAGTAATTTCATTTTAATATTGTCAATTATTGTCAATTATGTAGCTTTTAAGGTTGTTGTCTGAGAGAAGAAATTTAAGTAATTGATTTTAATATTGTTTGAGTAAACAACATGTTACTTCAATATTTCCTGCCATCCATAACACTCTTTATGTGATGATTTCTGAAGAAATTAAAGAATATTTTTCTGTAGATGTTGATGAGAAGAATGAAGAAGAAGAAGAGGAAGAAGATGATGATGAAGATGATGAACAGGTTCTCTTTGAGAAGAGAGGAACTCTTTCTTACAAGGAGGGAGATAAGTGGAAGGTAGGGAATTTTCTCCCTTTCAGTGGAGCAGTTTGGAATTTGTAAAC